ACAAAAAATCAAAAACAACAGTTACAAGTAATTCTGTTTTGACATTAATACTATATGACAATAAAAGTGACAAAATGGCTCAGTAACCCAAAAGAAGGTAAAAAAGAAGAAAAGCAAATAACCCACTTATCTAATGCTTAAGCCATCTATATTCACCCTAAATGCACATAATTTTTCTAATTCATCTAACAGATTTTTAACGGGTATTGCAATAACATGATTTCAGATGTTGGAAGTTGCTTTAATTTTAAAAGCAGGCCAGTTCTCAGTTTTCCTGGTCAATGACGTCACCATTTTCTCTATATGAACCTGTATGATTCTGTGTTTGTTGCTCACAGTATCAGAAATTTCATGAGCAGAGCCAGCCTCTTTTGCAAGATACAAATCAAAGCCGCCCAAGGAACTTTGGAGGGAAAATCTGTCCTCACCTTCCATAGCATCATTCATTGACTTGCCAACAGACTCCCAGATAGAAAAAAAAAACAATACGTGATATAATCCCTGACCTAAAGGAAAATCTCATGGGGACTTTTAATTAATTTAAATATTCAAGTGTCAGTGTGTGAACTACCTACCAGCAATCATGCACTAATTAAGACCAATTTATTCAACAATACTATGTTAGAGATTTCGAGGGACACACAAAAATAAAAGGCCTTCATCTTAAGGAGGAGGCAAATTGAAAGACAGTTTTACAAAAACGAGATAGTGGTATGTTATGGAAAGGAGACAGGTTCCATACAACAATCCAAGTTCAAATTCAGATGTGCGTGCCACTTGTTAGTGTATCAACTTTTGATGTTCTGTTTACTTTTTTATATATAGCTTTATCATTTTTGCCTTTTATATTTAAGTCTCTTATAAGATTGAGTGAAAGAAATTTTGATTTTCTAATTACAGTTTACATTCAACATTATTTTGTATTAGTTTCAAGTGTACGGCATAGGGATTGACAATCACATACTTCACAAAGTGTCCCCCTGATATTTCCAGTGCCCCCGTGACACCTGCATAGTTACTACAGTATTATAGACTATATTCCCTGTGCTGTACAACCTTCCATTTTCTTATCTATAAAATAAGAATATTACCTACTCTCAAAGTTGTTACGAAAATGAGTGGGATGATTTGTGACAGGACGAAAATAATTATTTTTGTGTTATGAGAAATATTTTTAAAGCCCCCTTCTGTAATTCTAAAGACAGCAAACTCAGCCTCTATTGGGCAGGCTGGTAGATCAGACTAAAGAATGAAAATTGAGAGAGCGAAGCTGCTTGTGGAAGCAAAGAGAGAAGTAGAGCGTCCCTGTGTGTGTGTGTGTGGGGGGGGGGTTATGTCTAGATAACTTAGAATCACACTGAGAAGAGCTTTGAAAGCCAGATGAAAGCCAAATGAAAAGTTTGTACTTGAGGTAGTGAGCAGTCATGAGCTTTAGGAAGGTTTTGAGAAAGACTCTTTGATCATGGACATTTTTTCTAAAGAATTGATCCTTTGTGTTATGGAAATGTAATAACAGAACAGTACTGGAAAAAGGAGAAACTACTTTATTATTACTGTTATTCTATGAGTATATTAAATGCCAGTTACTGTCCTAGACGGTAGGGATGCAGCATGAAAAAAATAGACAATACTCCCTTCTTTGTGGTGCTTCTATTGTAGTGGGAGAAGGAGACAATAGACAAGATAAATAAGTAAAATATGTTGCATGTTAGGTAATGGTAAGTACTAAGCAGTAAAATAAAGCAGGGGGAGCAGATAGGCAGTGTTGGGTGTGATGAGGGTGAGGTTGGATTTTAAATAGCGGGGGCAAGGAAGGCTTGAGGGGATGTTTGAGGAAAAGACTAGGAAAAAAGGGCACAAACAAATCAACAGCAAATATGTCAAAGACTTTGAGAGGGGGGGGTGCCTGGGTGATTGTGGAAGAGGGGTTGGACCCGAGAAATGGAGGGCGATGAGTGAGAACTGTGAGGCCCAGGGAAGCAACTGGGCTCGGTTATCATATGGCTTCCTCTTACCTGTGTTATTTTTCTTCACAGAATTTACATTACTTGATGTTATATTACATGACTATCTTTTTTGTTGATTTCATATCTTTTTTTTTCCCCCTCAATAGAAAATAAGCTCCAAAAAGACAAGACTTTGTCTCTTCACCATAACTGTGTCTGACTCATACTGGGGATCAATTTTATTGAATAAAATTAATGAATGAAAGGGAGGAGCCTAGAATGGAATGTTAACTGCTGAAGAGTTAAAACAGAAAGGGTCTTCCAGTTTGACAGGAAGGCGTTTACTGGGCTGGTAGACTTTATGGGTCTTTGATGGTAATAAATGCTTGGGGTGGAGGTTAAGGAACAAAGAAATAGAAGAAAAGAAACCAGATAAAATGATACCAATCAGTCTTTAAGCTTCCTTAACAACAGTTGAATCAGGTAAGGATTACGCAGCTGACTGTGTATGTTATTTTCTTTTCTCTAGCTTATTTATGATGTATTTATCCTCTTAAATAGATACTTCACAAAATTGAATTTGTGGTGTAATGCTGATCCATTGCATCCCTTGGGGAACTGACAAATTCCTCTCTGCTCATTGTTAACATAATTTTAATTAAGATATTGAAAACCCCATATTAAGACTTAACTATAATCTCATTTACTGTGTGGGAGGTAAAATCTTAGAAAAAGGATATCCCTAAACTGCAGAGTATGAAACAGAATTAAGCTTAAGTGACTGGAAAACATTTTTATAATGAAATGGAGTATGTGAAAGACCTTTGTTATAGTAGCAAAATATACAAATAGTGTCATTGAAAAGATAACTAACTGCTTATATTCTTGTCTCAGCTTGAAAAAATGCAGACCTTCAGAGCTATAAGTACATTGTAATAGAAGGGAGCATCCTAGGGACTCAGATATTTACATGGTATTATTTAAAAGAAAATGCTGTAGGCTGTGAATTATTTATCAAAAGCCTTGTAAACATTTCTGTGCCAAAGAATGAAGAAAATACTAGAAACGAAAAGAAAAGAAGGAAATTGTTCTTGCAGTAGAGATGGTAAAGCTTTGTATAAGTAAAATTTTGGGGGTGAGGGGACATATGTAATCCTCATGAATACAGCCTTCAAGAGGCAGAGTTCAGAGAAGAGAACTAAACAATAAAATGCAAAAATAATTTTATGAGACTGTGTTAATAGCACCACCAAGAGAAGTTCCCTGCTGGGGGTGCTTTCATTCTTAGGACTCTTGGTTACTGCATCTTGTCTGTTTTTGATCATAAGAAAGATTTTTACCAAAAAAAACGAACGTCCTAAGCAGAATCATCATGGATGATAACAAAGTGGTTGCAACTTAAGGCATTATTTATTATATAGTTCCTCTTGTAAGCTTATCTTGAGTTTGCTGCTAACTGTTGTGGGAAATAGTCCATGCTGCTTATAAACTGGTCAAAAAATATTTAGTTCAGAGTTAGAAACTCTAACAAAGTATGTAGATTTCCCTTATAAATAACACATCATAAGAGAACTAAATTTTATGACACACCAGAAGTAAATAAGACATTTTAAGGTCATTTTGCAAAATAAACCTTTAAAAATATGTGCACTTCCGAGAGCACGAATTCCTTTGCAGGGTAAGTACAAAAATATTTTGAAAGAGACAAAAGTAGCTTAGGATCAGTTTTATTTGCTTTCCTCTGCCCACACAAGGCTTCTGTTTCTCTTGATTTGGGTAAAAGAGAAAATGGCGATGGCAGACGGGACGGCCCTGCAGTTCTTTCTGTGCCAGGCTGCATGTGGCCACTTCACCGGCTTTCTGAGAGAGCACAGTTTCCAAAATGCCATGTAAAATATATGCCCATGTTTCCTGGGAAGGGGGAAGAGGAAGCTCTCCCACACTTTGTTTAGCACAGTGAAGACGGCATGAAAGGCGAATACATCCACAGTGGGCAAGCTCCAGGGGCTGACAGCCCCACGCCTTCCACCAGGGAAGGGCAGTGGGGAGCATGGTTGTTTCAGTGTGTGTTCAAGGGTCTTCAGATCAAGGAGCAGACAGGAGCTTTGCCTTACCTCTGCCTTTGCCATTTTCTCTTTTTACTGTCTGCCCACCTTCTCACACATTTACAAAATACATGTTAGGAGGAGCATTCTGGGTCTACTTTCCTGAAGTACATAAACTAACTAACATAACACTCTCTCCTAAAGAAATACATCCCCAAAATGTAGGTTGGTTTTGTGTGAGCCTTTTGGAGTGGATCTTACAGGATTCCCAAAGTGATGACCTGGCTGCCAAATGGTACCCCCAACTCTCCCAACCCCTCTGTGCCCTGCACTTCCAACATCACACACGCACACATCTTAGTCACAAGTGCCACCAACACTTCTGGCTCCTGCACTCAATGCATTAAGGCTCTGTAACCCCTTTTAGACAGATAAACTGGGATTCTGTCAAAAGACAAGGTGTCCCTTCAACATTCCAGGTATGCTCCCTATCCCCATCCCTATCCCCACATTTTCCCCATCATGCTTTGGGGCCTCAAACCCCAGGCTCCAACCTCCTCAATATTTCCATTGCACTGCTGTTGAGTTTATACTCCGTGTCTGCTCTGTAGCAACCGGAGATGTGATACATCTCTCCAAAACAGCAGAGGGACTCCTTTGTTCCTCCTGGTGAATCAAACACATGGCTCATTTGTCAGAGTCATTGTTACACCTTTGCGAGATACCGATTTTTGAAATTATCTGTACAAAGATCGTAAAACGTAAACATCCCTTAAAAGAAATGATAGAATATGACTGTTATAATGCAGTCATCCCTGGGATGCATCCCAGTGTAATTTTCTACAACATGTATGGCTGCCTCCCTTCGTAGTGTGCATGTAACACTACTTCTGGCAGTGCCGTGGTCCCTGCTTTGACAGGGGCAGTGACGTTCAAGGACATTTTTGCAACCTATAAAAATGTTTTCCTGTGTTTTTCTACAGATCTAAATAAAGTGCTTGTTTTTCAGATTTTAAATCAAAGTGACAATGTTTTATTGAAACAAGAAGAAAAGGAAGATTCTCTTATGAAAAGAGGTAAGAAGTTCAGCTTATATATATATATATTAGCTATAATGTTTGAGTTGTTATCAGTATGACTATGTGACATATCTTATATGGGACATAGATCAGAAGTTTGGCAGTAATAGTTTGGATTTAAAACGTTAAATTTGTCATTCTGGAAGTGGGAGGAGACGTCAGCAGAGGTTCACCAACTGTCTGTGTTTTGAAAAGGCAGAGAGAGACCTCCTGCCTGAGAATAGTACTCCCAACACTGCCATGCTGACTGAAAGACCGAACAGTAGACATATGTGTTACCCTTCATATTAAATTCTATTTCATGATCTGCTGAGGATTCATAACAGTTCTATAACTTTAGAATATATTAGAAAATTATAACAACATTCTCTGAACCTACAGTTGTGAGGTTCTCTGAGTGACATGACCGACTAGATGGTTCTAGGTTTCTTCCTGCTTTAAGGTTAGACCTCTACTGGAGACACATTTCACATTGGGATCTGGTAAGATGTCTTTGACCCTGAACCCAAAATGGAATACACAAGGATATTAGAAGGAGACACACTGGTGGGAGAAGGGAATTTGAACAGCCCTAATCAAGTAACTCCATGCACAACAGTAGCAGATAATAAGCATCATTAAAAAGATAATAAAATGTTACTATAAATTGCCTTGAGAATGTATTGGTACAGTTTTACAAAAGGATATTTGAATAGAAAGCCAAATTATATAAGTAGTTAATGAACCAATAACGCTTCTTTCAGTTTATTATGAGATCAAAAATCAACTATTTTCATTTTATGTTCTTTTGAAGAAAAACAGGAGCTGTGCAGCAATACTACAGAAATAAAAAAAGCCTCTTCATTACCTAACTGGAAAAGGTAAGTGTACTGCAATTATACAAAATCCAAGTGAGTGAAATTATAGTGTTGAAAAGTAATTATCAGTGTTTAAATACAAGAAGAAAGAAAATAATAGCAACAAGCAAAGGCAATTAAGAGTGGAACCAAATTTTACAAAGGAGACAAGAAAGAATAGAAAACACTAAATTTCTTATTTTCCCCCCGAACCTTTTCATTTTCTTTTGTGAGAATTCGGGAATAATAAAATAGAACAGCCTTCACTTGTTACTCACAGCAAGCAACTAATTCACATTACCGTAATGTAGTCCAAGAATGGAAAATGTCGCCTATATAAGGTATGACTGTGAAATCATGAACTGTTTTTTTGTGTAGTTCATTACCTAATTGTCACACATGTATGCAATTATAATAATCATTGCATGCTAGAATTTTCTCGACATGAGACCTTTATGACTTTTCAAGTAAAATCAGTTGAATACTTTGGATGCCTGATGGAATGAAAAGAATCTTTTCAAGGGAGCAAACTCTTAACCCTCACTCTACTACAAACCCATCTAAGCTGCTTTTCAGACAATCAGACCCAGTGACTGAATCCAGATTCCCTGCTCTTTTTGCACAGGAGCACACAGAATTAAGTGCAAGAAAAAACAGAAAGGAGCGTTTATGTTCCTGAACATGCTGACAGAGTAGTCACTCTTTAACAGTCACATTCTATCTCTTCACTCTTCTATTAGAAAGCCTTTCACAGTCCCATCACTGTCAAGATAAACGAGAAACTCCTTAGCATGGCACAAGTCCCCCTCAGGGATATGAAGAATTAACATCATTAAAATGTCCATAGTACCCAAAGCAATCTATAGATTTCAACACAATTACTATCAAGATACCAATAACATATTTCACAGAACTAGAACAAATATTACAAAAATTTATATGGAACAACAAAAGGCCCCACATAGCAACAGTGATCCTGAGAAAGAACAAAGTTGGAGGAATCACACTACCTAATATCAAACTATGCTACAAAGCCATAGTAATCAAAGCAGCCTGGTACTGGCATAAAAATAGACACATAGATCAATGGAACAGAATAGAGAGCCCAGACATAAACTCACTTCTCCATAGTCAGTTAATATTCAGCAGAGGAAGCAAGCACATACAATGGGCTAAAGATAGTTTATTCAGTAAATGGTGTTGGGAAAATTGGACATATGTGCAGAAAAATGAAACTAGACCCCCTCTTACACCACACATAAGAATAAATTCAAAATGGATTAAAGACTTAAATATTTGACCTGAGACCATAAAAATCCTGGAGAAAACGTAGGTGGTCAAATCTTGGGCATTGCTCATAGCAATATTTTTTCTGATATATCTCCTCAGGCAAGGGAAACAAAAGAAAAAAAGAAACAAATGGGACTACATCAAACTAAAAAGTTTCTGCACAGCAAAGTATATCATCAACAACATAAAAAGACAACACACAGGATAAGAGAACATATTGCTGATATACCTGATAAAGGATTAATATCCAAAATTTTTAAAGTACTTAGAAAACTCAACACCAAAAATAATAATCCAATTAAAAATGAACAAAGGACCTGAACAGACACTTTTCCAAAGAGGACATACAGATGACCAACAGATATATGAAAAGATGCTCAACGTCACTAATCATCAGAATAATGCAAGCTAAACTAACACCACAATGAGATATCACTTCATGCCTGTCAGAATAGCTATCATCAGTAAATCAACAAACAAGTGCTAATGGGGATGTGGAGAATGGGAAACCCTTTTGCACTGTTGGTGGGAATGCAGACTGTTGCAACCACTATGTAAAGCAGTATGGAGCTACCTCAAAAAAGTTAAAATTGGATCTGCCTTTTGACCCAACTATCCCACTTCTCGGAATGTATCCAAAGGAACTTGAAACACTAATTCGAAAAAACGTAGGCATTCCTATGTTCATTGCAGCATTATTTACAATTGCCAAGTGTCCAAGTGTCTATCAGTAGATGAATGGATAAAACAACTACAGGATATTTATACAATGGAATTCTGCTTAGCCATATGAAAGAAGAAAATTTTACCCTTTGTGATAGTGTGGATGGACCTGGAGAACACTATACTAAGTGAAATAAGCCAGTCAGAGAAAGACAAATACCATATGATTTCACTCATATGTGGTATCAAATGAACAAACTGAACTGACAAGGAAAATGGGGACAGACTCATAAATGGAGAGCCAGATGACAGCCAGGGGTTGAGGAAGGGGACATTATAGGATGGAGAGATTGAGCAAAAAGAAAAAGGGACTCATGGACATGGACAATAGCATGGAGACTGCTGGGGGAAGGAGTATAAGGGGACTAAATGGTAGTGGAAAAAATATAACGAAGATTAAACTAAAATTTTTAAAACCAATTAATTGTATGCTTAAGTCAGGTGAATTTTATGTCACCTAAATAACACTCACCTCCTCCCAGGACCACACTAGATTTACAACTTAGTTATATAAAAAGCATCCTGAATAAGCAAAGGAATGCTAGGTGGAGAGAAACCTTAAACTAAAGACTTACAGAAGAAAGCACTTTACCATATTGAGACTGGTAGGAAGTGTGGAGTCGTGAGAAGGCTGGCTGGGCTCACACGGGTAGTGTCTGAAGTTCCAGAGGGATATCTCAGTGGCAGAGGTCCCCCCTGAGAATGTGCAGTCTAAATCTCAAGCTGGATTCTCTGCCTAGAGCACCAGAACCAGGAATGGAACCCAAATACCATCTGGCTGTGAAAAGCAGTGGGGTTTCTGACCACCAAGGAGAGACAGCTAGAGATACAGAGAGTCTCTTAAAGGGCCAGTGCACAAAGTTTCATTTCCCACCACTTACCCTGGGCTCTGGCAAAGGGAGGGGAGAGCATACCAGAGCCACATAAGGAAGGAAAGTCTGGGGTTGGTGGTTCTGGGGAGAGAGCTGAAGGATCAGCCGCTAGGATCCCCGTGTTGAGTCCTTCCCCATTTTGCAGAATCCATCTTTCTGAAACAGGCTACTCCCCTTCAAGTGGCATCAACCTGAGTGGAAACAATAGCCCCACCCACAGGTCTCCATCTCACTCACTGTGAGGAGCTTAAGCCAAGATGCTGAAGAGTAAAGCTGGAGGCACTTTCAGTGATTAAGCCTAACAGCCTACAGGCAAAAAAGGTGGATTTCTGGGAACTTTGAAACTTTAGCTAACCCTCCACCACGCCCAGTGCTGGTAAAAGCTGACCTTGGTGCTCAGCTTGGTCCTTTCTGTGCATAAACAGGTCCAGCAGAGGAGCCATAAGCTGTGGATTGTTGATAGTTCCAAATAGGTTGCCCAGAGCCAGTCACAGGCAGCATATGACATAAGGTTGCACCATAATCTTTGCACATCTCCCTAATACAAACAAACACAAAGAGCAGTCATAATGAGAGCAAGAGGAGCAGACCCCAAATGAAAGAACAAGAGAATTCTCCAGAATAAGAACTAAATGAAATGGAAGTAAACAACTGATCAGATACAGAGTTTAATGATTATAGGGATGTTCAACAACATGAAAAACCAGAAAAAAACTACAAAAAAGGACCAGTCAGAATTAAAGAATGCAGTATCTGAAATTAGCAGTACACTGGAAGGAATAAACATCAGGTAAGGTGAAGGAGAGGAACAAATCATCAATTTGAAAGACAAATAGGAAAAAAACACCAATGCAGAGCAGCAAAAAGAAAAAAGAATTTTTAAAAAATGAAGAGGGTTTAGGAAACCTTTGGGACAACACAGAGCATAACATCATCTACATCTGATCTACATCAGAAGGAGAAGAGAGTGAGCAGGGCAATGAGACCTATTTGAAGAAACAATAACCAGCTTAGGATCCAAGTTGGTGGAGGAATGTGTGGTAGCTACACTAACCTCCTCCTAGGACCAATCTGTGATTACAACTAAATTGTAGAGAAGTCATCCAGAATAAATGACTGAACACTAGCTAGATAGAAGCCTTATAACCATGGACAGAGAGAAGAAACCACTTCACCACAGTGTGAACAGTAATGAGTGTGGAGAAAGTGTGAGGGGGCTGGCTAGGCTCCCATGGGCAACAGCTGAAGTTCCAGAAGGATAGTTCCATGGCTGTGTGTCCCCCCCTGAGAAGTGTGGGATCTATACCCCAAGCTAGGCACCCCAGCCTATAACACCAGAGCCAGAAAGGAACCCAGGTAATATCCAGTTGTGAAACGCAGCAGGGTTTCTTTCTGCCAGGGAGAAACACCTGGAGATGCAGAGCGCTTCTTAAAGGGCTGACGCACAAAATTTCATTTGCAGCCATTTGTCTGGGCTACGCCAGAGGGAAGGTAGACTAGAGACATCTGAAGAGAATCTGGGGTTGGTGACTCTGGGGTGAGAACTGAAAGAACAGCCACCAGGATCCCTGTGTTGAGTCATTTCCCCATATTGCATAAGCCATCTTTTCTCAGACAGAGCCTCATCTCCAGGTGGCATCAGTCTGAAGGGAAGCAATATCCTGGACCACGAACTACTCTACCCCACCCTGTGGTGCCTAAGCCTAGTGGCTGATTACAGTTTGATTAGAATAACAACTGATCAGTTTAATGGCTGATTAGTTTAACAGCTAAGTGGGATAACAAAGAAGCCACCAAAATGGTAAGAAAAGAAAAAAAAAAACAGAAGCCAAATGAAAGAATAAGAGAATTCTCCAGAAGAAATATTTAGATGAAATGGAGGCAAGCAATTTATCAGTTTAGAGTAATGATTATAAGGATACTCAACAGCATGAAAAAAGACATAGAAACCATAAAATAGGATGAGTCAGAAATAAAGAATACAATATCTGAAATAAATAATACATCAGAAGGAATAAACTGTAGGTTAGATAAAGCAGACGATTGAATCAGTGTTTTGGAAGACAAGATAGAAAAAACACCCAGATATAGCAGCAAAGGAAATAAGAATTTTTAAAAAGTGAGGAAGGCTCAAGAAATATTTTGGACAGCATTAAGCATAACAGTGTCTGCATCATGGGAATACCAGAAGGAGAAGAGAGTGAGGAGGAGCTTGAGAACCCCTTTAAAGAAATACTGACCAAAAGCTTCCCTAATCTGGTGAAGGAAAAAAATCACACACGTTCAGGAAACTCAGAGTCCTAAACAAGTTGGACCCAAAGAGATCTACACTGATACACATCATAATTAAAATGTCAAGGCTTAAAACAAGGAGAGAATCCTAAAAGCTGCAAGAGAAAAGCAAGGAGTTACCTATTAGGGAGTGCCAGTTAGACTGGCATCTGATTACTCAACAGAAACATTTCAGGCTGGAAGGGGTGGCATGAAATAGTCAAGGTGGCAAAAAGCAAGGACCTACAACCAAGGCTACTTTACCCAGCAAAGCTGTCATTTAAAATTGAAGGAGATATAAGGAGCTTTCCAGAGAAGAGATCAAGCTAAAACAGTTTGTTAATTCCAAACCAGTGCTGCAACAAATGTTAAAAGGCTATAACTCTAGTAAACATTTACTCACCCAACATGTAAAGCAAATCTTGATGGGCATAAAGGGAGAGATGGACAGAAATGCAGTCATAGTTAGGGATTTTAACACCCCACTGACTTTAGTGGATAGATCTTCCAGGCAAAAAAATCAACAAGGAGACAACAGACTTAAATGACACACTAGATCAAATGCATTTAATTGATATCTTCAGAGCATTTCACCCCAGAACAGCAGAATATACATTCTTTTCTAGTGCAATGGAACATTTTCCAGGATAGACCTCATGTGAGGACACAAAACAAGTGTCAATAAATTTAAGAAGATTGAAATCATATCAAGCATCTTCTCTGACCACAAGACAATGAAACTAGAGATCAACCACAAGATAAAAACTGAAAAACACAGACATGGAAGTTAAATAACATATTTTTAAACAATGAATGGGTTAACAATAAGATCAAGGAACAAATCAAAAAATACCTTGAAACAAATGAAAATTAAGATACAACATTTCAGAATCTGTGGGAAACTAGGAAAACAATCCTAAGCGGGAAATTTATATCACTACAGACCTCTCTCAAAAAACAAAAAGCTCAAATTAACAATCTAACTTTGCAATTAAAAGAACAACAAACAAAGCCCAATGTGAGTAGAAGGAAGGAAATAATAAAGATCAGAGCAGAAATAAAAGAAATAGAGTCTAAAAATGAAACAAAAGATAAATGAATCCAAGAGCTGGTTCTTTGAAAATATAAACAAGAATAACAAACCTTTAACCAGACTCAACAAGAAAAAATGATAGAGGACCCAAATGAAATGAAAGAAGTAAAATAACAACTGACACTAAAGAAGTACAAAGGATTGTAAGAAAATATGAACAACTGTGTGCCAACAGAATGGGCAACCCGGAAGAGATGGATAAATTTCTAGCAACACAAAATCTTCCAAAACTAAATCAGGATAAATCAGAAAATCTGAATAGGCAGATTACACTCAATGAAATTGAAGCAGTAAAAAAACTCCCAATAAATACAAAAGTCCTGGTCCAGGTGGCTCACAGGTGAATTTTACCAAATATTCAAGAACTAACACCTCTCCTCAAACTATTCCAAAAAATGCAATAGGATAGATGACTCCCAAGCTCATTTTACAAGGCCAGCATTATCCTAATTTCAAAATTAGATAAAGACAGTATAAAGAAAGAAAATTATAGGCCAATATCTCTGATGAACACAGATGCTAAAATCCTCAACAAAATATTAGCAAACTGAACAGCAGTGAATCAAAAAGACCAAACCCCATGATCAAGTGGGATTTATTTTCAGGGATGTAAGGTTGGTACAACATTTGCAAATCAATAAATGTGGTTCACCACATAACAACATGAAGGATAAATCCACCCAATCATATCAATAGATGCAGAAAAAGCATTTGATAAAAGCCAGCGCCCATTTATGATAAAAACTCTCAGTAAAGTGGGAAAAGAGGGAACATACCTAAACATAATAAAGGCCATATATGACAAACCCACTGTCAGCATCATTCTTAATGGGCAAAAACAGTAAATGTTCCCCTTAAGAATGGGAGCAAGACAGGGATGTCTGCTTTCACCTCTCTATTTAATATAATACTGGAGGTCCTAGCAACAGGGATCAGACAAGAAGAAGAAATAAAAGACATCCAAATTGGAAAAGAAGAAGTAAAACTGTCTTTATTTGAAGATAACATGATATTGTACATAGAGAACCCAAAAGATACAACAAGAAACTACTAGAACAATAAAGTAGCAGGATTCAAAGTAAATATCAAGAAATCAGTTGCATTTTTATATGCCAATAATGAACTATCAGGAAGGGAGATTAAGAAAATCTGATTTACAGTTGCCTCAAAAACAATAAAATATCTAGGAATAAATCTAACTATATCTGTACTCTTAAAATTATAAACACTGAAAAAAGAAATTGAAAGATACAAATAAGTGGAAGCACATACCATATTCGTGGATAGGAAGAATTGAGATCATTAAAATGTCCATACTACCCAAAGCAATGTACAGATTCAACACAGTGCCTTTCAAGGTACCAGTGACGTATTTCACAAAACTAGAACAAATATTTCCAAATTTATATGGAACCACAAAAGGCCCTGCATAGCAACAATGATCTTGAGAAAGATGAACAAAATTGGAGGGATCACAGTACCCAATATCAAACTATACTATAAAGACATAGTAATCAAAACAGCTTGGTACTGGCATAAAAACAGACACAAAAACAGAACAGAATAGAGAGCCCAGAAATAAATCCACACTTTTATAGTCAATTAATATTTTACAGAGGGAGCAAGCACATACGGTGGACTAAAAATAGTTTATTCAATAAATGGTGTTGGGAAAATTAGATATATATGTGCAGAAAAGTAAAAAAAAACAAAAACAAAAAAAAAACCCATAAAATTTTACCCATGAGACAGCATGGATGGAATTGGAGGACATTACTCTAAGTGATACTCATCTGAGAAGGATAAATAAGTATGATTTAACTCATATGTGGAATTTATTGAACAAACTGAAGTAACAAGCAAAATAGAAACAGACCTATAGAGAGCAGGCTGACAGCTCTGGGGGTGGTGTTTAGGGGGTGGGGGGATCAATGTAAATAGTAAAAGGACTCAGACATGGACAACAATGTGGTGATTACAAGGGGGAGGGTGTTTGGTGAGGAATAGCATATAAGGGGAATAAATGGTATTGGAAAAAAGACAATAAAAATAAATTTTAAAAAAGATTGAACCCTAATTATGAACCTCCAAGGTCTTATTAATGAGGCATAATAATTTTCTTAAAGTCTACATTAAACAGCTTCCACCTGTTGTGCTAAAAAAGTAAAATAGCCCACCCCACTTCTGACAAGGCACATGACCCAATCTTACCATCTTCTTTTAGATCACTTACTACTGTTTTAAAGAATCTTGTTATCTGTTTTTTTATTGTTGACACTATTACAGATGCCCACACCGCCCCTCCCCAGCCTTCACCACATTGTTTTCTGTGTCCATGGGCTATGCTTCTATGTTATTTGGCAAATCTCTTCCAGTCCCCTCACTACCCTCCCCTCAGAGATCTGTCAGTCTGTTCCATGTATCCATTACCTTTGGTTCTATTTTTTTCATCAGTTTATTTTGTTCATTCCAGTTCACCCGGAGCATTCTTCTTCCTCTAGATTTGACTACATTTTTTTTTCCAGTTGACTTTGCTCCTTTTTGATTTTATTTCTGTATGAACCTACCCCCAGGCTAAAATAGAACTTTAACAGCCTCTTTCAGCAAATAAAGGACAAATGGTATATATGACTACTGTTAAGAATAAATCAGTACCAATTTTATTTAACTGTGACCAGCCAAAAACCTCAGAACAAGATTTGTCAGGAATAAATAATAAGTTTTCTACTTTAGAATTGATTTTGTAGAACTACATAAATGATGATTTTCAGCTTAACACTTATGTCTTTGCTTTCATTTGCTATGTATTATTTCATTTGTCCTATGTTGATGTTTCTGAGTTTATCAGTATTTAATGTGATTCCTACTTTGAAATTAAGTGTACCAGTGGAAGATTTAAATCCAAGTTTTGGACACAAAGCCAGAGTTTCTGTAAGTGGTGGCTGTGGAGTTGCTTCTTCGCTGACAAAGTCTTATCAAAACACATCTGTCAAGGAAACAGTAAGAAAACTGACATCTAATTTATGGTAAAGATATTTACTAACATATTTCTACATGCTTCATTGAACTTTGTAAGCAGTGATAGCTCCTGATTTTTTCCTTATTAAGTGGTAATGTTAATGAGAAAATTCAATCAAATGATTTTATGGCTTGTTCCCTAACTATACAGATTTAGATATACCACGTGTTAACTGTCCCTGGAAATAAATCTAGAGTGGCCAACTGCCTATTACCCGGTCTGGCAATATGGTGAATAGCCCCTCTCGAATGCAATGAAGAATTCTTACTGAGTTTGCCTTACTGAATTTGTCTTCCTGAATTTACTTCCTTCTTTCCTTCCTATTATTTTCCTCATGACATTTGCATGGCCTTCTGAAAAGTCTCTTTTTGTAGCTTTTGATACTAAACTTCCTGGGGCAAACTGAGTTTTACTTTTTGGCTCAGTGTAGAATGTTAAATTTGTGGGCCTGATTAAGGAGGCTCCCAGTTCTCAAAAGATGTTGTCACAGACAGGGTGAAGACCAGGTTTCAGAGTTATTCCAAATAGGGACCAATGATAGGGGGTTTTCCAATCAGGCCAAAGCAGTTAGTATACTGAAAAGGGCTCTAAAATAAGGGTCACATGGGAGGACGGAGCTGGGGCAGGGGCAGCAACATGACCACATTAGTGCAGCTAGTTGGTTTGGTTGGGCTTTACGGACCACGGGGAACTGTGTGTGATAAGAGGCTTTTGGCCAAGGAGGCTGCACAGCATGCCGTGGCTGGAAGACATTTTTCCTTAGGATGGTTATTTTGACTCTCTGATGAGTGACTGATGGATTCTTTCTAGAGGAGAGACTTAGCAAAGAATAGAAGCAGGAAGGAAGAAAGAAATATGGAGGTTGGCTGTATATGTACGACGTGAACTCAATTTTGCAGTTGCTCTGGGCTCTATGGAAATTTTTGTGGCATCATCCAGGGCTGTGGAGCTGTGCTTATATGGGCATCAGGGCCCCACCTACTGTGGTTTAGGAACACACTCCCAACATCTGTCCTGCTGCAGAAGAAAGGAGGAAGCTTATCTGTAAGTGGATCTACCTTGGACTTTGCATCAGGACACATTTTACTAATGATACCAGGGATCCAGGGGCAAGTTATCAATGAAGTAACGAAGCTAGAGTGCTGCATTTCTGAACACTAAGTTCTGACCTCCAAATCTACTATAGTGCCGGGGTTGGCAAACTTACACTAGCCAGGGAAAGAGGCAGAAGCAGGCCAGGCCTCAGTGTTGTAGAGATGTCATGAGGTTGGGAAAGACCACTTCTCCAATGATCTGGATGGACGTCGGTCTCATGTTGCCATGGCCTATAACAGCGATTTTCAACTTTTTTCATCTCGTGGTACACATAAATTAATTACTAAAATTCTGCACACACCAAAAATATATTTTTTGCTGATCTGAAAAAAAATAGGTATAATTTTTATTCATTCACACCCGGCAACTCTTGTTGTGTTGGCTTTTGTTATTTGACAATCTAAGGGAAAAAAGGTCAGTGTCCCTGACTGAATAGTCATGTATTGCGTGTTTTTTAAGGAAAAATAAATATACATATATTCCTCACAGGAGGACATTTTTCCCACTGCTTTTATAGAGAGAGGAGTGGGGAGAGAGAAACATTGATTGGTTGTCTCTCGCATGCAACCAATCTGTGGACATTGGGGATGGAACCTGCAACCTAGATACGTGCGCTGACTGGGAATCAAAACAGCAGCCTCTTGGTTGACACTCCAGCCATCTGAGCCACACCAACCACTGCACATATTTTAAAAATTCTTGAGGCATACCAGTTGATAATCACTGGCCTGTGGTATAGTCCCTAAAGAATGGGATTCTCTAACTAGTTTCTTACCTTCTGTCAGTATTTGATCAGAAGTAATATGTAAGATTCTCAGCTTTGAATCAGGTAGCCATGAATTTGAATCCTGGTTTTTTCCTTATGATTTCTAAGATTCAGACATGTCATTGGTCACTGAGACCTTGTAGTATGCAATAAATTATATATGTATGTGCCTGTGTATGTCTGAATGAATATGTGCATATTACTAAAAATGTATGGATATGACTACATGCACAATGATTGTGACAGGCTTTCTTGACAATTAAGAGCTATAATTTTTAGACCATTACTATATTTTAAACATTCACTTAAGTGCTTTGTATATGTTTGCTCTTTATTTCCACAAACTTATGATTGGTATTATTTTTAACAGTTTTTTTATGGATAAGGAAACTGAAGCTTAGAGAAGCAGTAATACACTCAAAGTCTCAAAGAAAATTTACAGCTCCTAAGATCAGCTCTGGGTTTAACCTCTGGCTCCCTGATTTGAAATCTCATGCTCTTAACCACAGTGTATATACATACATACATAGGGATACACACACACACACACACACACACACATACAGACACATGGAAATATATACATATGAAAGTGTGTGTGTGTGCCCACACTGTGAGACCTGGAGAGACCTGTCTGGTTGTATTACAGCAGAGTTTGGGTGTGCCACTATGTATCATCATTTTGTTATTTTTTGTACCTGGCTAATTTTTGTTCTTTAAGTGTATCATTACTATTAATTTTAATGAGTTACATGTGATCAAAAAGGAGATAATCTGATTAAGTGTACTAAAACTTTAAAGTGGATCCACTTTTATAATTAGGCATCAATAGAAAATTAAAACTTCCCCAAAACCATTTCCCTAATGCACATGTAGAATTTTCATCTCCTGAAATCATCATGCTGTTATCAACTGAACACTCTGAAAGCTAAATGTGTTAATAAATAGCACTTTTCTACACCAGATTGAAATTTTGTGGTGATTGTGTTATAAAAATACTCAGCGGCAAAAGAATAACACAAAATGCAAGACTTCAACTGGAACAGAACGAGCGCCTCATTTCCCAGTTTTCCCTTTTGCCTTAAGCAGCAGTAGTATGTTTTCTCTCATTTCACCAGTGGAAACAGATTCCTTGTTTTCTTCTTCACTTGTGGTTTTTGGTATTTTCATCTGTCTTTTTAACAGTATCTAACAGTTTTCCTGATCTAATTTTTGGGGTAAAGAAAAAGAAAAATGTCTGTGTGCTTGTGCCTGGAGAGCCCAGGAGCTGGATAACCTGTCTGCTTTTCTAGTCAGTCCTAGCTGACAGAATCCCCCAGGGAAAAGCTATTTCTCAGCAGCTCTGTGCAGGAGAGAGGAGAAGGCTGAATACTGGGAAGGAGAGATAGCCAACCTGCTTGAGCCTGATGGGGGCAGGAGGCTGGGGTCCTTAATAATCGGGAAACCAGAGAGGATCACGATAGGGGTAACTTCTCAATCAGAGTTTCCATAAAAATTCCGTATGTATAAAGCAGATAGCAATGCTTAGCACATTTTTAGGGCTTTATAAAAAGTGGTCGCATCTGACCGGGGTCTCAGTACCTTTGGAAAGTACTCAGTCCCCCAACATGTCATGCCGTTGGTCTAGAATCCTTCCCTCATGTGCCCTCACCCCCAGCTCCTCACTGCTGGCTAGCTCCTCTACTTTGGGGCTCCCCAAATACGGCTAGGGTCCCCTCTCTCAGTAGCTATGGTGCTGCATTCTCATTCTCATCTTACCAGGCTTTTCTAGAAGTTCTTCCTTAGAAGATTGCTGATGAGCTCTAAACTCAGAAGAATTTATACCCACCACAAAAAGGACCAATGCTTAGAAGAGGGTTTAACCCTGTATGGGAGGAAGGGTGGCTGGATTTGGGGGAGGGAGCAGTGGTTTGTGTAAAAGACCTCTCACCCCTCTGTCCCACCAAACCAACCATAAAGTTGACCCATTTCTCAGGGACTCCAGATGCAGCTTTTCTTTCCCTGCCGTCTGACTGCTGCTCCTCTCAGATACCCAGAGGCCTTTTATCAGTCTGCCCCCAACCACTCATCTTCTTACTACCCAGACAAATATTCTGCAGAGTATATGTGTGCATGCATACGTGTTATATTTGATACTAGGCAATGCTGAGGATTTTAACTGTTCAGACTGAATCTCCTTAAAACTATAAATATTCACACAAATAATATATTCCCATCTCTGCTGTGCTTTTATTGCCAGGGAGATTATGCTGTATTTCTTTCCAGAGTATCAGCCACCATCGGAATTGGGCTATTCATCTGTGGAGGAATTTGTAGCAAGTTTGGAGGTAAGCCAGCTCTTGTGGAACTCTGAGGGAATGACAGAAGAACCTGAATTTAATCTCCAGTGAACAAAAATGTCAAGTGTTACCAGTAAGGGGAACTAAGTGAATGAAGATGAGGATCATTATACTAAATAAAAGACTCAGAATTAAAACCACTGTGGCCAAGGGTTAAATAAGCTTCGGGCAGATCTTACAGACTGAGAACAGTTGGTTGCAGAGATCAAAAGAAATAGGACATAGTTCCTGACTTTCCTTCTTTACACCAAAAATAGAGTTTCTATCTCTTAGACACATTTCCTCAGCCACCTTTTATGAGGAGCTGAGGTGAGGATGGGGTGGGTCAGCCACGTTAGGCGCTCAGAGCACTAGTCTTATTGGAATCACGAAGACATCACGCGGAAAGATGAAAACAATTGAATTTATCAAATCTGTCCCCAGGGACAGTACCATATAAGAAGGGAAGGAAAATGTTGATCAGCTACCTGATCCAAGTTCTAGGCTTTGAAGCTGCTTTTATACCAGGCAGTGCATGTTATAAGTCTGTTGTAGACAGCTGATTCTCTAAAAGTTAATATCCTGTTTTATTATAATTTACGAAAACAGCTGGAGCAATGCCCAGAGCAGACAAACAGAAAACTGAAAATGTGTTTCAAACAGGTAAGCTTCCTTTCAACACAGTCATTTATATTCTAAATGATCCTTTATTCCAAAGGAGAAATGATACACATTTCCAAAAGTTGGGTTTGGAAGGAAATCAAATTGGTGTTCACTTATCAAGACTTACATTAATGTAGCATATCAGATGTCACAAGGAAACATCCTTTTGATTTTGAAAATGTAAATGTTTCCACAGCATAAAGCTTATGAAACACTTGGAGCAGGACTATTATTTGTACCGGAAACATGACATTCTGAGTCTTGAAGAGATTCACTGAATTCCTGAGACACTGGACTAAACCAGAAATTGTCTGTAGATTAAAGTTTTAATTACAGTTAAGTGCTCTCTTAACATCTTCAGTAGGTTCTGTAACTTTAAGTGAAACTCTGTATAATGAACCAGTTTTACTATAGGCTGTTGATGGAAACAAGAGTTAGGTTCCTGTGGCATCCCATCAGTGTTACAATGAAACAGTGAAACTACCAGCTGTATTCTATGCAAGTTCATATTTCCCTGATTTTTTTTTGTTTATTTAGTATCTTATCAACAGTTTTTAAAGCCTATGATGTTTCCATTATAAGAGTAGTTATAAAAGTAGTTAACCTAACAAAAAAAGTAAAAGAAATAAAAAAAAATCATCCATAGTCCATTCTGAGATCACTGCTGTTACTATTTTGGTGTATTTCATTACAGCTTCTCTCTTTCTTTGTCTCTCTCTACCTCTTGCTCTCTCAGTAGAGTTTTTTTCCTTTTTCTTTTTTTTTTTATTGATTTATTTTAGAGAGAGAGGAAGGGAGAGACAAAGAGGGAGAGAGAAATATCAGTTTGTTGTTCCACTTATTTATGTATTCATTGGTTTATTCCTGTATTTGCGCTAACTAGGGATGGAGCCTGCAACCTTGGCATATTGAGATGATGCGCTAACCCATTGAGCTACCCAGCCAGGGGTGACATTTTCATTTTTTTACAGTCTTAAATAATACTGTGTATCTAGTTCTTAAAGATTTCCTAGGGAGAAAAAGTCCCTAGAGTCTTCCCGTTCTATTAGAGAAATGCTAAAGAAATCACATACCCTCAAGTCCCTTACTTCACACTCACAGGAACTGAGAATCCAAGATGTGAACTCCGGCACTAATCTCCAAGGTGACATGGGGAATTATTGTTGGAGCCAGAACAGCCAGAGGTTCACAGGTCATCATAGAGGCCACAGCAGTCTAGAACTTTTCTTGACACGAAGATTGATACTGAGGTGTTAGCTCTTCACTGACACTTGTGTTCGTTCAAACAGGTACACCAGCTCCATCTGTAGCACATATACTGGCATCTTCTTCCATGTGCTCATGCTGTTAAAGAGAAAACCACAAGCTCAAAATAACATCACTTGTAAGACTATACTTTCAGGGATCATTTCTATAGTTGGTTAAAATAGCATCACTTGTGTTAAAGCCCACGATACCAAACCTAGATTTAATACCTGACCTAATTACTGTTTTTAACCTCTTCCTAGAAATCTATTCTTATTCAGCCAATCCAGAATTTTCTGGTTAACACTACTGAGAAATCTGTCATGTGGGCGTCCTCATCCCCCACAGAAAGAAGAGGCAATCTGCATAATAAAAGCTCTTGTTCACTCCCCACTAAAAGATGTTCTGGTTTGAAAGTAAACCTTTCTTTTCTTACTTTAACAGCTCCCTTGCCCCACCCTTCTTTCTATAAAAGCCTTCCATTTTGTACAACCCTTTCGATAGCCCTTCTTATTGCTAAAGGGGATGCTGTGCAATTAATGAATTGCTTAATGAAGCCAATTAGATATTCAATTTTACTTATAAAATTTGTGTTTTTAAATAATGCTTACAGCCATGTTCTGGAAAATTACCATAACAACATGTTAATCTGTGAAGACTAGGGAGTGAATGGTGCCCCCTGGAGTTGTGCAAAGCACAACTGTAAGCAAAGGCATTGCCTCATCTCTTTAGTGAGAAATAGAGTGTATTTGAATAATCTGGTTTTATAAATAAGGAAATGAAATTGCAAAATAAGTTCCCAAAGACATGTAACTAGGCAAACTCGAAAGGAAAATTAGAACCTAAACCAGATTTCTTCTTAGAAGGGCTGTATTTGAATTTTGGGGTATGCCTAAACTGGACACCCCAGTTGATGTATTTGCCTCTGATACTTCTGACTGAGTTCTTACTGGACAGTGATGCACACAAATGAAGGCATCTTGTAGGTCTTAGTTTATCATTATTCAACTGAAAAGGAGCTTATTTTCTAAATAATGTACTGTTGAAAAAGCAGTAATTGAACATTTTCAGTTTGAAGACTTGTCAACATTTCCAAAGTAGAATAGAATAAAAAACTAGGTTTTCTTTCAATATACTTTTGACCCTATTTTAGCACTAATATTATTATCATCAGTGATTGTAAAACTGTGATTGATTAAAAGTTACTAGAGCCAGACACTGAACTAGGCCCTATGTACAGCCTCTTTTATCTTATATCCATTACCTCATTTAACTCTCACAACAACTTTGGGGGGTGGGTGCCACTATCTCCATGTTAGTAATGAGGAAATGGAGAGTCAGAAAGATAATATTCCAGTGTCACAATGCAAGTAGCAGATTTAGGGTTGGAACTCAGATTTGTCCCACTTCAAAGCTCTTTTTACTATACCACTTTCTTCCATCTTATTATCACGATTGTAATACTTCAGTTTTGTGATAGTTTGCATGTGTTATTTGCAGTAGATTTACTACATCTTCTTGGCCTGTTGGTGTAAAATAATCATTGTTTACTTACTAGACACCTAGATGTTACATGTTGAGATATATATGTGGGAGATGCTGGCAGTGAAATCTTGGAGAGGGGTGTGTGCATGCGGGAGGCAGGTTTAGTGTCCCATCGAGAAATGTCTTAATTGTAAGGCTGTAGCAGCCAGCTTGAAGAACTACCAGTAAGGCTCCTGGATCTTCCCACAGATCTTCATCTACTGGTTAGGGAACTCTGATTTAAGTAATTACACTGTAAAAGTTAGACATGTGCTAAGAATTAGACTGTAGTACATCTCAGTTTATCCAAGCTTATTATGTCCTTCATGTCTGTCTCTAAATGATAATCTTTTAGTGGCTACACTATCAGTAAAGGAGCCGAATTGTTGGGTATTGGAGGCCAGACTGAATTTAAAAAGTGTTTATTCAAGGTGAACTATACTAGCATAGATGATGAGTAGAACCCCTTTAATGTTCAGGGCAAGTGGGATTCAAAGAATCTAAGTAAAATAGTCAGGAGACCATGAGTTCCTGTTGAAATTGAGATGTTGCAAGCAAAACACAGAAAAGTTGGAATCATGACTTCCCTGATGTGAAACCGCTTGGTCTTAGGACTTTATTAATGACTGTTAGCTTTAGGTGGTAGTAGTAAAATCTATTCAAATCATTTCTTGAAGTCCATGTAGACAAATGTATGCAACTTGTTTGAAGGTGTGAACTTTTAATGAAGAGAGCCACATCCAAGCCCGGAAGGACCCTGGATAACCCTCAGACTTCTTTGGTCGCTTCATCCTGACCGCATCAGCGGTTTCCGTAACGACCATTGGAGGATCGCTGAGTCATCACAGCATTGGTCGCCCTGCACAACCCGAACTGCACTGCTGTCTTTTATTTTTCCCTCTCACAAGCCGTCTGGTCCACCCAAACTGGAATTGCTCCAACGTTCTAGACTAGCCTGCCTCAGAGCCTTTCCTGACCCTGCAGAATATTCTTATTTACTCTCCCAGTCCACAGTTGGCCTCTTGAAGTCCTGCCCAACCCTCCCCGTAGAACCTGGTCAGTGTTGCCTTCTCCATCAAGTCTTGCTCAGTCTCTCCAAGGGAAATTAATCTTGACTTTCTGTGCCCTCAGAGAGCCTTAAAACTTGATTTTAGCATTAACTAAATTTTCTTCCTTGTGTTGTAGCAGTTTCTGATATTTTATTTTTTTTCCCAACTGGATTATAGAATCTTTGAAGTTAACAACCCTCTCTCACCAAACTGTGTGTTCTGGTGGCATTCAGTCAGGACCTTTGAATACATTTAGATCTTACTCTTGTGTGTTGAATCAAAATTTATTGTGTCTGCTCTAGAGCCTGTCCACATAAACACTCGCATGCATATTCCTGTAAGGTATAAAATATTGTAGGCCTGTTTTACTTTATGCAAATGTCTTAGGATTTTGGAACTCCAGAGCTCTGACTTTTTAAATTCAAGGCAGAAAATTAAAAACTCAGTTGAATATCCTTTCTTTCAAATTTTAATTCTGTTCTGAATTACTGTAGATTGGGAAGAATGCCATTTTTCATCAGCCACAAATACCTTTACAAGTGTAAATTTATCCAGCAGAACTAAGCTTCTCATCTGTTACAAATCTCTACTCACCTTCATTAAAATGTTAATACAACTAGGGCTTCTTTTATATTAAGCTTTAAAAGTTGTCAAAATTGCTATATTTTGTGGAAACCTCCCAGAGATGTTAGCCTGAGAAAGGCAGAAGAATAAATTGGAAACAAGCTGGTAGTATTTGAAGGAAATATAGTTTGCTGGTTACAAGACTAAACTTTAAGAGACTAAATATGACTTTGAATGTAATGTGCTATATAAACATTCTTAATGTCACTGTTGTCTTTTGAACTTTTTATTTTGAAGTGATTATAGATACACAGAAATTGACAAAATAGCAGAGGTCTCACATACCCTTCGCCTGAAGCTTGTGCCCTACATTATTATATAATTATAGTATAATATCAAAACCAGGACATTGAAATTGGCAAAATATGTGTCTCATTTTATCATAGGTGCACATTTGTGTAACCACCACTAAAATCAGGATACAGAACTCCCATTACCACAAAGATCTTCCTTTACAGTCCTGCCTCCCGTGTACAAACGTGTCTAACTCTTGGCAACCATCAATCCGTTCTCCATCTCAGTAACTTTTGTTATTTTAGAAATGTTACAGCAGTAGAATCATACAGTATGTGTCACTTTATGATTGGCTTTATTCACTCAGCATGAGGTCCTTTCAAACCATTCAAGTGTGTCAATAGTGTGTTCCTTTTTGTTGCTGATGAGCATTACTTTTGGTTTTCTAAATAATGTTTGTAATATTTTATATCTCTTTTAAATTTTATTTGTTTATTTTATTGTTGTTATATTTAAAAAAGTTTTGTGGCTGTTGTTCAGGATGGCAAAAGTTGTAAAATCCTAGAATTTTGAAAACTAAGGAATATAAATGTCTGGCGACATCTGCACTATCTGACCTTGTCCTTATTTCAGCTGAACTGAATTATTTACCCGCCTCCACCTGCAGCCCATAGAAATGTCACGCCATGGGTTTGACTGATGCCTCCATGGAAGCATCTGTGAAGCTTCCTGGAGTAGGTGGTTGTTGCCTTAGCTGTAAACCATCAAATTCTTATAGTTTGAATTGAAGATGATCAAAAGTAGATTCCCCTCCAGGATCTTAGAACGTGGATTTCAAGGCAGGATTGGCCCACGTGTCTGAAATCCACTTGCTGCGAATGCTACACATCTGCCCTCCTAATACCCCGTTCCTTAAGGCTCACTGTGTGGGCAGGCATTGGTTATACAGAGGTGAACAAAATCTTTTTTTTTTTAACATTGAAATTACATTCTAAAGAAAGAGATAAACACATAAATAAAACATAATGCAGTGTCCTATAATGATAGATATTAAATGCCTAAATAAATAAACATATAGTGCAATGTGCCATAAAAATAACTGTATAGGGCTGGGGATAAAGAGTGATGGTGTGTGTTAGGGAAGGAGAGGCTATTCCAGGTGAGCACAGAACATTTGAGCCACATTTCAGTACAGACCTGAGGCAAAGAGTCAGCCTTGTTTAAATCTGGGGTCAAACTTACCAAACAGAGAGCTGTAGCAGGGGTTGAGGACCTGAGGCAAGACTGAGTTTGGTGTATTCCTGGAAAAATGAAGCCCAGAACTCTTGGAAATAAGGTAAAAATAGGCAGAGTTAGATCAAGGCTTTCAGGGTCTAATTCCTGATGCACCCCACGAGTTTCCAGGAAGCTAAAGACTCTAAAATTCTAAACTTTATTTATATGACAAACTACAAACCTCACAAGTCTCACATTTAACACTACTTTGTGTGTGTGTGTTGTGCCTGTAGGGGTGGGGGAGGAGCACACATTTTGGACTAGAGTTTGCCACTGTACAGTGGTATTTGGGTCCGTGCTCCCAAATACTCTTTTCAGTTAATAGCGCATGAAACACTTAAATAATTAGGGATAAGTTACTAACATAGATCTAAGGCAAGGAAGGATTTTGATTCTCTTAATTTAATGGAGAATTCACACCCTGCTCTCAACTCTAATATCTGTGCCTTCCTTGGGGGCACAATTGCACTTTCTCACATAAGATATAATACCCATTATTCACATTATCTCACCCTGTAGACTAGAAGCTTTTACAGGGTAAGGGCTGAGCCTTACATGTCTTTGTTATCACCTACAGTTAAATTGGATTCCTTGAATTTAGGAAAGAGTTGGTGAATGTCTATTAAACAGAAGTTAATATATTTAAGGATTTTTGTTTGTTTAAACCATTTTATGGAAAGATAAGAAATTCATGATGAGGTCCTTGAGTACAAAGAGGGAGACTATGTGGACAATGTCTGGGAAGGGCCTGAGCATGTGGTAGAGGAGGGGCAAGGGGGAAGGGCAGTCCCAGAAGAGAAATAAAGCCACCTTACAATTTTCCTAGCAACCCAGCCATGTTAGAGCACAGAAATCTCATTAAAGAACCATTTACATGATTATCAAAATAAAATTTGACATGCATCTTTTTTTCCCCACTATCCCTTGGCCCTCTCAAAGTGTCGATACAAGAAATTAATGTCATTTTGAAATTGAAACATTTGGCCTCTCCATTACCTTTTTCTTCTGTGAGTGCCTCAAGCGCAACATGGGCTCTTGGAAAACAACCAAAAGCTCTTGAATTAGCAAGAGTTGTATGTGCTCTTATACAACTGTACTCTTTACGTCAGGAAAAGGAACCCAAAGACAGTGGCAGAACAGGAATTCCCCTTACTGTAGCTTCTGTGCTTCCCAAATGCCACAGACTAGAGTTACCAATAACACGACATTATCCACCATAGAAGTCCCAGGTGGCTGGCCATTCTGTCATTGTCTGTGAGTTACTGGGTCTGTGGAGAGAGGGTTACAGGCTCCTGCCTCCTTGAAATAATCTTGTACCACTGGTGGGAGAACAGATTCAACCATTAATGGGTTCCTTCTTCATTTCAAAGCAAGGGAATGCATTCGTGTGCCTCTCTCATCCTTATATTACAGATACTGGACTATAGTGCATTTTTCTTCCTTTCTTTTACTCTTCTATTAGATTATATGTTCTTAAGGACAAACTTAAGGTTTATGGGACATGTGACCACTTATAGTATGTGTATATATATGGAATTGACACGTGGCATATACATGCATAATTGAAATATAAAATTGCTTTCTGATATTAAGGACAAAGTAAAATTCAAAAATATATTAAAACTGTTTTAAAAAACATTCCCAGATCCAGAATGTTTACATGGTCCAATATGAGGAAAAACTGAAGAGAAAAATGCAGTCTGTTATCTATGATACTAATAGAAGAGGAGTGATTAATGAAATATCTCTGGTGCAATGTGAACAAAAGAGGAAAGTTACTGAAGATAAACTGAATAATCTTCGCGTAAAACTGGCAGCAGTGTTGCAAAAATTTCAGCTGGTAAGTGATGAGATTTTATTTGAGTAGTAGGAATATACTTTGTAAGAAGAGCACTCAGCTAGCTTCTCATATCGTAATCCATTTTTTGACCTTGGACAAGTCATTAACCTAATCCTTACTTTCCCTATAAGGATACTGATACTGTAAATAAGAGAACTTTGAAAGTATATACTAGAACATTTTTTAAAGATCTATTATTCTTAACAAAATCAGAATCTTTGCTTGTGCTGTTCGTGTAGTTTGATTACCTTCAAGTCTCCTCAGTAGTATGTTTCCAGTAGGAAAATTTTTCAGAATTTTTTCAGATAGCAAACTATGTTAATTAATTTTTACCCTAATATGTAAATAAAAATTGACTTTTCTAACGTTAGAGGATCGATCGGAGAGACCAGGAAACCTCAGGTAAATATGGATTATTGTCCACCTTGTTTGTTGGTATATTTTAATCCATAAACAATTGGGTTTCTCTGAGATTGTGCTAGTGAGGAAAGGTTCCTCTTCTACTGTAGCACATAGAAATGTTAGAAAAATTTAAATCTTTTCTTAACATTTTAATATTTTTATGTTTTCTAACATTTTTAACATTTTAACATAGAAAAATTAAAATATATATAGCCAAGATTGAAAAACCTTTCTGTAAATGCTAGAAATAAATTGAGAAATCCACAGTGAGCCTAGGAAGCACATGGCATTTTCCTCAGAATAAACCCTCATCTGGGACAGAGATGGAGCCTTCCTGGGCCATGCAAGGTGAGAGGGCAGGAGCTGAGTTTCCCACCGAGAGTTTCCCAACCTGGTGGGGCAGTTGGAGGTTTGTCTTGCCCATGAAGGGCTTAAGGGAGAGACACAGACTTTGAAACCAGACTGCCTGGGTTTCAGCCCTGGTTTGTGAGCATTCAAGCTGATAGTCCATTCCTCCTTCAAAGAAACACATATTTTGGTTCCTCTGGGATTTCTCTTATATTGGCTACAAAATAAAAAGCAGAAAATACTTTTGTTTAATTGAAGTATAGAGCCAAAAGAAAAAACCTTTCTTCTCCTTGGGTGGTCTAGGCAACAGTTAGAGTGTTTCATTGTTAAAATATAAAAGGACAATTAATGCTAACTGCTTTCCAGTAATGGTAATTATATTTGTGCTTCTATTAACAATAGTAGATAAACCTATTATCAAGTTTATTTGTTGCCGTAAAAGTGGATTGTGAGTAGAACTCCTTTTGGTTCTTGTGGCTGTAAATGGTAGGAAATATTTTTATGTGTAAAGATGTAAATCAAAGCCTGGTATATGGTAAAGTTTCAGTGGTAATAGTTGTTTTGCTAACAAGAAAAACTAGGGAGACTTATATCAGATTCTATATCATAGATAGACACTGAACATCACTCTATATGAGAAAAGTTCATGAAAATTGTTGATTCTCTGAAGAGCAAATTTATGTTTCACTAGGAAAAAAACGAAAGCATAATAATTTGCTCTTCCTTTTGTGCCAGACTCCTGGCCCTACTCCAAAATAGTCAGGGTAATCATACTAATTTTAATTGCTTTATTCACAAAATTTGGTAAGGAAGTGAAGGACTTCAGCCCACAGAGTGTGCAGTGCTTTGTCTAGTATCATTGGAGAGGCATTCAAAGGGTTCCTGCCCAAATACATTTCCTCTCATCCCCCACTTAAAGTTTCCATTCTTACTGTCTCTGAGTGTCAGAGCAAAAGCAGTGGAGTAGAGCAGGGACTTGAGGTGAGGTAGACCCAAAAGCAGATGCGGCAGGCCATGAAGAAGCTGGGGACCCACCTGAAGTTCTAGGTGGAAGTCTAGTCTGCGAGAGCAGTAACCAAAGGATTAGACTGGACCTAGTAGGCTGAGAGTGGTCAGTGTTGGGAAGGATCAGACAGCGAATTCCTAAGGGTCAGTGAGTATTTGAAAATGCAGGTGAATATCAATATTGTGGAAACCTGTCTTAAGGAACAGGGTCCCAGTCACAAAGCTGGGACGTAAAACAATTTAGCATTGGTAGAGGACTGAAGAAATCTAGGACAGAAGGATCAAAGCAGAAGCACATTTAATTTAATCCCATTTAACAGATAAGAGATGAAGAACTAGGGTGATGGTGCCAGACATTTATAGGAAACAAAAATAGAATTGGGATTATTTCTGAAAGGTCCTTCGTGAAAATTCTCTTTTCCATCAGCTCAGTTAGGGAGGGGTTGATCCCATGGTTGGGCTTGAGGGGTGTGAGATTTTGGTTAGTAAAAAAGGAGAGTTTGTCCAGCTGTTCATGGATCAAAAAGCCAGGGAAGGAGAGCATGAAATTAACCCAGAGGCCTGAGGGGCAAGAGAGAAAAGGGAGCAGAGGTAGGCAGCAAGCCAAGCACTGAGGGGAAAAGTGCCGCAGAGGAAAGACAAGAAACAGAGAAATCAGGATTTCCTACTCATCTGTTTAGCCTGGAAGGCTAAAGATTCATGAATTTTTAAAGTCGGAGATGAGCGCCTATAACAGAGAAAGATGAGAAGAGGCTGGAGGAGGGGTTTAGGAATATGACAAATGATTAGGTAGAAAGAAAATAAAAGTTAAATTAACCTCCACTAAATAAAAAATGATCCAGCTCTTTAACCACTTACAAGCATAAAACAAGAATAAATGTGAAAACATTTTATAAGATTAAAAGCATTATTCAAATGCAAGGTGGATTGTGTTGTTACCTGAATCACAGAGAAGACTGCTCAGAGGCCACCCAGATTATAGGAATAAACCCTGTAGCTTCTTTCCCTGATAGGATTGTTGCTTTTCTTTTGCAGGGAGGACCAGTAGGAGACCTGGAACAGATTGACTGTTATTTAGAAGCTTTGCTTAAAGAAGATAATCTCCTTTTGGGGAGCACTTTAAATAAAGGAACTGTAGATACAGAACATAGTCTCCCTTTAGAGACAAAATAAAAGTACTTTTCAAAACTAACAGTCAGGAAAGACATTCCGATTTCTGAAATACTAATAAGGAAAAGGAAGATTCTTTCAAAAAATATTTCCCCTTATACCTGTTATTGTGAAGTTCATCCTGTTTAATACTAAGAAAATCGTATACTTTGGAAATGGAGAGTGATTTACAATTTGCATATTTCCCAGTCCTATTTCCTAACTCTTCCTTTTCTTTTAGAAATTTTTCTTGATTTCTGTAATTCCCATGTGAGCAATTAAGAAAGACGGAAATGTCATTTAGTGTTAAATTTTAGTTTTACTTAGAAGACTGTAAAAGCTGGAAAACAGTGGTTTTTAAAATCAGTATACAGAAGACTACAGAGTTACCTCCTCCTGAAACTTGTGTTGAAAAAGACAATGGTGCCCTTTCTCCACTACTGCCAATACTCATATAGGAGAAAATAACAAATCCTTAAAAAACTTTGAGCTATAGTATGTGTGGTAATTTTCTTATTCAGTTAGAGTAAAAGAGCAAATCTAAGTATAATGTGAACACACATTACACATATGTTAAGAATTGTGTTTTCAGATTTTCTTTGAGAACTGGTTCTTTTTTGTGTTTGTTTAGAAATGTCTAACTTTGGACAAAAACAATAAATATTTAATATGTATTTGTGGAATTGTGTAATTTTCATTTCATGTACATGCACATAGTATTAAATTCAGAACTTGTGAAGTGGAATAGGATACAAAGTCTTCACACTATGCTTAGACACTTAATTACTCTTCTCAAGTGGCATGCTCTTGCCAGTTACTTGTGAATCCATACAGATGTGATCAGTGTATATAAAACCATATAAATCATTACATAGATATAAACATCGATGTAATAGCAACCAGAAGATGTTGCTGCTTATTCACTTAATAGATCTTCAAGACCATTCCACATCAGGATCCATACATGTAGAACTCTTTCATTATCTCCATTCCACTCCATGGATGTACCAAAATTTATTTAACTATTCTTTTATCAATGGATACTTACATTTTCCCCATTCTTTTGGATTTATATGCACACAGAAGTGAATATTCTTTTAAATATATTCATTTCATATAGGTGCAATTATATCTGTTAAATCTCAGAAGACGAATTATAGGTCAAAGGGTATGTACATTTTATTATTAACATATTGCCTGATAGCACTCCATAAAAATTTTATTAATATACACTCCCACATCATGTTTCCTCACGTCTTTACCTACATTCTCTCTAATCTTGCTGATCAAATAGATAAAAAGTGTATAACCTTGTAGCTTTACCATACATTTCCTATGAGTAAGGTTGAGAATCTTTAATGTTTAAAATTTATTTGAATTTTAAAATTTAACCTTTGTTCATATTCTGCTGGTTGACATTCTCTTACTGATTTATAGGAAATATTTTCATATGAGGGAAATCATCTCAATATTATATGTGTTCCAGATATTTTCTCAATTTTTTTTAAAATTATATTTTATTGATTATGCTATTACAGTTATCCTGGTTTTTTCCCCTTTACCCTTCTCCACCCAGCACCCCCACTCCCTCAGGCCATCCCCACACCGTTGTTCATGTCCATGGGTCATGAGTGTAAGCTCTTTGGCTACTCCATATCCTATGCTGTTCTTAATGTCCCCATGGCTATTCTGTAACTATCTCTTTGCAATTCTTAATCCCCTCACCTCTTCACCCATTCCCTCACAATCCCTTCTCATCTGACAACCATCAAAATGCTCTCCATATCCATGATTCTGTCTCTGTTCTTGTTTGCTTAGTTTGTTTTTTAGATTTAATTGTTGATAGATAAATATTGCCATTTTATTGTTCATAGTTTTGATCTTTTTCTTAAATAGGTCCTTTTAACATTTCATTTAATAATGGTTTGGTGATGATGAACTCCTTTAGTTTTTTCTTGTCTGGGGAGCTCTTTATCTGCCCTTTATTTTTTTTTTTTAATTCAAATGCAATTGTCTCCATTTTATGGGCACCACTTTCCCCTTCCCCACTCACCCCCCCCATCACCCTCAATCCTTCCCAACTTTGGCTTTGGCCATGGGTCCTTTATTTGTTCCTTGATTTGACCCTTCCCCTTCTTTTCCCCATTACACCCTTCCTCCTTCCCTCTTGTTACTGTCAGTTTGTTTTTTCTTTCAATGTTGCTAGTTTAGAGTTTTCTTGCTTGTTTTGTCGATTAGGTTCTACTTACAGGTGAGGTCATATGGTATTTGTTTTTCACCCCCTGGCTATTTTGCTTAGCATAATGCTCTCCACTTCCAGCCATGCTGTTGTGAAGGGTAGTAGCTCTTTTTTTCTTTCTGCTCTGTAGTATTCCACTGTGTAAGTGCACCATAGTTTCTTGACCCACTCATTTACTGATGGGCACTTAGGTTGCTTTCAGCACTTGGCTATTGTAAATCGTGCTGCTATGAACATTGGAGTGCATGGGTTCTTTTGAATTGGTGTTTTTGGATTCATAGGGTGCAACCCCGGCAGTGGAATTACTGGGTCAAAAGGCAGTTCCATTTTTAGCTTTTTGAGGGAATTCCAAATTGTTTTCCACAGTGGCTACACCAGTCTGCATTCCCACCAGCATTGTACTAAGGTTCCCTTTTCTCCACAACCTTGCCAGCACTTGTTCGTTGATTTGTTTATGATGGCCATTCTGACCTGTGTGAAGTGGTATCTCATCGTTTCAATTTGCATTTCTCTGATGGCTAATGACACTGAACATCATTTCATATGTTTCTGGACCCCGTGTATGTCCTCCTTGGAGAAGTGTCTGTTCAGCTCCTTTGCCCATTTTTTAATTGTATTGTTTGTCTTCCTGGTGTGGAGCCGTGTGAGTTCTTTATATATTTTGGAGACCAAATGCTTGTCCGAAGTTTCAGTGGCAAATATATATTCCCATACAGTTGGTTCCCTTTTCATTTTGCTGATGTTTTCTTTAGCCCTACAGACGCACTTCATATTTTGAGGAACATGATACCAGCACAGAAATAAGCAAATAGATCAATGAAATAAAATGAGCATTCTAGAAACAAATGTATATATCTAACAATGGAATATAGGGTTAAATTGATTTTTCAAATCAGTGGGGAAAACAAGGCTCATTCAACAAATAAAGTGCATGGACCACTATTACTTGAAATAAAACAAATATAAAGCCCCATTTCACTCATTATACAAAAAAAAAATCAGGTGAGTTAAAATCAATATGTAAAATCTAAGGGGTTTTAGGAGAAAATACAAAATATTTTTCTTACCCTGAAGTGAAATATTCAAACCCAGATGGTATAAAGTAAGATATTGACAATATGACTATATTAAACATTTAAGACTATACAGTAATATACATATAAAAAAGTTAAAGGACAATAGAATAGGAAAGTGTGTGTAACAGCTGAAAAAGGCTTAATTGTTTTTTGGGGGGGAAAATTCTACAAATGATCAAAAGGATAAAGAATACAAAACATTTAAAACTTTTTAAAAAAATAATAGAAATAGGCAAGAAATATACAAAACAGGTTTAGTTTCAACAAATAAAGTAACATTTAACAACATCATTGTCACAATCAGATTAATAAGTATTAAAAATACTGGTAATACGATATATTGGTGACTGTGAAAGGAACTAGGTATTCATAGACTCTTCTTCTTCATCTTCTTAAAGCAGTCCCTTTAGCATATCTTGTAATGCTCGTTTGGTGGAGGTGTATTCTTTAAGCCTTCTGTTTTCTGGGACAGTTTTATTACTCCTGGTATGGCTGGTAGTGAGATGGCTTGAGGAGCACATGGGCAATTCATTTCTTTTACTGGAGCATAGATACAGTTCTTAGGCCCATTCACTCAGTTCTCAAGTCTGTTGCAATTGGCTTGGACAAGATCAGCTTAGGAACTGGAGTGGAGTAAAACTAACAGGTTGAGGGCATGGGTAGATACAGACTGTAGAGAAAGAAAAGAACAGCTTAAGAAAAAAAAAAGCAAGAACTATGCTGGACGACACAGTTCAATATGTTCTTTTATCTGCAAACCACACTTTTCTGCCTGCTACATCTACAACTCTTTTCACTACTACCAATATGTTTATCTCTTACCATTTCCCTCTCTTATACATAGACTTCCTTTTAATTTATCAATATTCAGGCTGTATATTTTCCTCATGGTTTTAAAATTTTTTCATATAAATTTATCTTCACAATATTTAGGTGTGAAAAGGCAAATACTTGTTATTATTTTACGGATGGGGAAACAGACTGGAGAATGAACATAATGTTTGTGTAGTTAATAGTGACAAATGAAGCCTAGAACCTAGGACTCCACGTTCTGGAGGCAACTCCAAGTTCTGGAGGCAACTCCCAAGTTCTTCTGTCACACTCACTGTGTCATTCTATAATGCAGGCAGAATTTATGGCTAACAATACAGTAGGGATTATGCTTTCTAAATTATTGCCTCTGCCCTTCACAGGAAACTGTACCTCTGAATAGCTGGTTAGCACAATCCCATCGGTTAACCGTAAATGCCCTAGTCTTAAAACTACAGATGAGTTAATCTCACTGGCTTTCTATTCTTATTTAGTCTCTAGCTGTAAGAGGTTTAGAGTAGCTTTCTAAGGACATACGTTAGCTTCAAGTTGTAGTGAAGAGTGAGGGACTAAATATAGACAGACCCTACCTGAAAACAACCTGAGAAAAAGCTGTAGACTGGGTCGCTATGGGCAATAGTAAATCTATAGCTGAGGGCCTGGCAGCAATTCCTGCTAAAGAGACCTATGTGTGGTACAAAAAATTTATGATGGAATATCCATCTGGCCTGCAAACACTGCATGAATTTAAGACACTCTTGGGTCTGCAAGGTCTGAATCAAAAGGCCAGTCAACATGTGGATCAAGTCTATAATACCTTTGACATGAATAAGGTAAGAACTTTTACTTTTCACTTGGCTATGGTTCTCCATTTTGCCCTTTTTAAAAATAGCCTAAGATAAAATGTGTGCATCCTACTCAGTTGGGAAGTCTTCAGATAACCCACAGCTTGTAGGAAAGTGAGTTATTAAACACATTTAGCACTGACGGTGTGAAAATAATTGGGAACTAGCCTCTCCACCCTTGGAAATGATCTGCATGTAGGGAGTTATTTTAAAACCAAATTAAATCTCAGCATGGAATTATAATTCTATCATTTAAACAAATCTAATAAGTGCAGATTGATTTATAAAGACTGTTTTCAAAGTATTTAATGTAATGGTGACATTTTATAGAAAAGCAAATTATAGAAATCTGCTTTTTAAAGTGTGATTGCATCTACATTGGCAGATAAAATCAATACAAATTAGCCAACCTGTTCATGTTCAAATCAGAAGTTGGAATGCTTCATAATACTTTTTTTTTTTCATATCTGACCAATTTAGTTTGGAGGGAAAACAAAACTACTTATAGTTTTAAATTCAGATAAATTTTAGTTTCTAAAGATTGTCATTCAACTATTGTCCTAAATTTATTCATTCCTGAGGAGTTGTAGCACATTTAATTTTATGTCTTGAAAAAAATATAAAAGTGAGAAAAGAAAATATGAAATAGAAAAAGTAAGACAAAAAAAGTAATCTGAAATACCAAGCTAAAGTTCTTCCTGCCTCCTTTCCATTTCAGTTATTTTACCTGTAGATCTGTATATTTCAATATGTATTGATGCCATCCAGAATAAAAGGGAAGGGGGAAATAGTACTCATAGGAAAACAGATAACATTGGAAGGCTGTGCATGATAATAGAATAAAAGGAAGGGATAATGAATTTAATACAATTAAAAAAATTGCTGTCCATTAGGATGTATGGAATATAGCACAGCCCTTTAAGCCCTTTTCCAAAGCCTAAAAGCAGATGACTTAAAAGGAGTTAATAGCCAAGAACTGGGGAAAATTAAATCTGTGCAAAATTAATGGCTATTTTAATCCTTGTGGCAACATCAGGAACAAATTTCTTTTAGTGCATTATTGTCTTTTGTTCTTCATTATCAAACATGAATTAAGCACTGCCTGTGTAGCATTTCTGTGTTTTCCTCATAAATTTTACTTAATGTAATCGCAAGCAAACAGAGTTCAGGCCCCAAGAAGCTTAGGTATCAGCGAGGAAATGAGAAAGATTATGCTTTTGTTCTTAATTCTGATTTATGTTCTGGACATTCCATAGATTGAAAGTGCCACACCAAATTCTAATGTTCAAATCTAAACCCTAATGTGATTGTATTTGGAGGTGGGGTCTTTGGGAGGTGATTAGGTCTTGAAGGCAGAGCTCTCATGAATGAAATTAGTGCTCTTATAGGGAGGTTCCTCAGAGAGTTTTCCCACCCTTTCCCCATGTGAACACAGTGGGATGACAACTGTCAATGAACCAAGTAGTGGGCCCTCAAAAGACAGGGAATCTGCCTGTACCTTGATCTTGGACCTCCCGGCCTTAAAAACTAGTGTTTAAACTACCCAGTCTATGGTATTTTTGTTACAGCAGCCGGAAGTGACTAAGACAGGATACTACTATATGTGCATGTTGCATGTTGCTCTCTTTGTCTCTACCTGTGTATCACTCGCAACATTCTCTCCCTCACTGGCATTCTCTGTTTCTCTCTTTGTGTGGCTACCACTGCCCCACTATGCCTGCTGTAAGGAGCCCAGTTTCTCAGTGGAAGCATGTTGTTCTAGACAACAGCTTCTCGGGCTCTGACAGTCCTCCTGAGAGGTTAGATGAGTTGCCATCAAGTTATTTAATTATTCTCCAAAGGTGTCGACGTCAAATTCCAAAACAGTGGTTTTGTTATTAGCCCAATGTTTGTGAAAACACCAGCATGTCAGGGGTTCATGTGCAAGAGCAGGAACATGTGGAAAGCAGGACTGGAAAGGAACAAGGAAGTGCTGTCAAAGCGAAGCCGGCTGCCTGGGAAGCAGGGCCAGGCAACATCCAAACAGGAAGCCTGGGGCCTGTGCCACTGGAGTGAGAATCCTCTCAGTGACAGTTACGCAATGGCCAGGCCTGTCTCAGGAGCTTAATTTAAGTGACTTGGCAGCCCTGCTGGTGTTCACGATTTATCATAGAGCTTTGATGTTTGCTTAGGAAGCAAGCGCACCTAGGCAGTGATGACAAACAAATGCTGTGAAAGGTATGGGGATCGTGACATAAAAATCAGGTCATAAAATGAGAAGGGTAATGGTTGTTCATTATCAAATGATAGTTAAAATGTGATATGCAATTATGCGCAAGAAAACAAACAAAAAAAGCCATATATTTAATTAGATCAATAAAGCTATCAGCTGTCGAGAATCCTGGAGGATTTACACTTTCTGTGGAGCTCATCTGCAGTTTTAATTATTGTGGATAGAAATCATTCTAAAATGCATTTCATACTTTCCTGCCTCCTCAAAGTGCTGGTAAAATATTTTCTTGGTAGCACTCATTATTATGAACATTGGTTGTTACATTTATGAAATACCATGAAGTACCCATGCTTACTGCAGTTGCTGGGGCTAAGTTTCCTAATGTTAAAAATCCTAAAAATATGTGCTTTTGTTATTGTTTGATTTTTATTGTTTTTCTGTCTCTTTTCCTGCTGTCAAATGCATTTTTCCCGACTTTCTGATTGTCACAATACTAATAAACTTTCAACCTCTTTTTATGCTGCCATCTCTAACCTTGGTTTGGTTTGTACTCAAGGTAACCAAACTTATTTGAATAGTGCATGAAGTAAAAGTAAATAGATTCTGAATTTTATGACAATCCCTTTGGCTGACCTCCACCCTTGCAGGCTTCTCCGTGGCCCTCCGTAAATATAGTTAATATTTTCTGAGTGCTTATAATGTCCCTGACATTGTTCCAGGCACGGTACACAGGCAAACACATTCAAATTCACATGATTATAAAACGTAATTACAGTAGTGTCCATGATGTTGGCCCCTCCGACCACCAGGGAAGGCAATTTATTGACCACGGCCCCGGGTGCATCACTTTGGGGGCCACCACTGTGCTTGAGTTGCATCCATGCCTGGGTTTAGATTACCGCCAACGAATGAGTACAGCAGAAATAATAAGGCCAATTCATTCCTAAAAGACAGGGCACTCCTTTGTCAGCTGACTTTGACTCATGGATTCCCTGCAGGCTTTGTCCACAACAGTAGGTTTAGGGAGAGTCTAGGACATTTCTGCCCAACCTTTTCTCGCTTTCTTCTTCACTAGGGTCAGGTTAGCATTCTTATCTGACATCTCCCTCAATGTCCCCTGACTTTCTTCCTGTTTCCTTCCACAGAGAGTTTCTCCAAATAAATTCCTTAAATTGGGATTAATAGGCCTAATAGCCTATGAATAAGAGTCACAGAAAAAGATCCCAGAGAAAATGTAAGATTATAACAAATCAAACCAGAAAAATTTCCCAGATCTATCAGACACAAGGGCCCAGCACAATAAGTAGGAAAGGATGAACCTTACAGCATATGCTGGGACATATTTTTAACAATGGGTATAAAGATCCCAATATCTTCAAAAAAGGAGAAAAATGGAAATCAAGATAACCTTGAGCTCCTTAACAACTGTATAGAAAGCTAGAGAAACAGGTTAATGGAGAAATGGTCGCAAAGTCTGAGAGGGAAAATATCAAGCCAAATCCAATGTGACAGAGAATAAAGACATCCAAGGACTGAAAAATTTACTTAGCACTTATTTTTTCTTGGGAAGCTACTGGAGCAGGAACTCCAGTAAAATGAGGGCATCTGTCCACAAAGAGTGAGACAATGAGTCTGACATAGGAAAATAGATGTGGGCAGTCCCCGATCATAGAGAAGGACAGCCCAGACCAAATACTGTGAGAAAGCCCAACGTGCTGCTAATCCAGATCGAAAAGAAGGAAGGGGACTCAGGGAAGAAGACCAGAGAAGATGACACTGATGATCACCTACTCTGAGGATTTCAAAACAATACTAATTCACTAATTGATAGTAACTAATCTAATGGTGCATTTGAAAAAAATTAACACCAAGTGCAAGAAAAACTATTAAAATTTAAATGAAGCAACTTTAAAGATTTTTATTATGAAAATTTTACACATAGACAAAATTAGAGTAATTAGCCTCCATCAATCTATCATCCATCTTCAAAAATGATCCAAATTTTGTCATTTTTGTTTTATCTGTCTTCTTACATTATTTTCTGAAATTTTTTATAAGGAAAAAATACCACACAAACATGATGTGATTTCACCTCCAAGTACTTTATTATTCCTCTATAACAATAAAGACTCTTTTTAAAACATAACTACTATGCCATTGTCATCTATAACAAAGGTGACAGTAATTCCTTTTTTCTATTTTGAAAATATTTTTATTTAAGTATAATTAGTTTACAACATTATATTAGTTTCAGGGGTGCAATATAGCAATTTGACATTTCTGTAGCTTACAGTGTGACCACCACACTGACTCCAGCAATCATCTGTCACCATGCGAACTTAGCACAATATTATTGACTGTATTCTCCTTCAGAAGGTGACCGTAATTTCCAATGTCATATAATAATCTATGGGGAAGTTTTTCTGATTGTCTCAAGCATACTTTTTCATTGTATTGGTTTTAATTTGGAGATTATATATATGCTTTTTCCTTTCCATTCCTCTCTTCTTCCCTCCATTTTTGTCTCATATTTATACCAATGCTGGCCACTGTGTCTTTCAAATTCTTACATAGTGCCCAATTGGAGAGATTATCTCAAGGGAGACTTTAAAATTTATTTATTATTTTTTAAAAATTTTATTGAATTTATTGGGATGACATTGGTTAATATATAAGTTTCAAGTGTACAATTCTATAATACGTGTATACTATATTGTGTGTTCACCACACAAAGTCAAGTCTCCTTCTGTCACCACTTATCCCCTCTACCCTCTTC